GAGGGAGGGAGAGGGAATGATAGGGCAGGGCAGGGCGTCCGTTTCACGTCGATGGCTGCACCTGGCAATCAGGCCTGGCCATCGCCTCTGAAATCTTGTTAAAGATGCTGCTGAACAGGGCTTATTATTCGGCTTTTTCCTTTTTTCCTGGAACCGGAAGGTAATCCTTCTAAAAAGAAGTAAATACCCAATTACTGCTCTGGCAATTGCAGTCTGAACATGTACAATTGTGTAAATGCATGACCTTCATGATGATGCTACTACCTCAGGCCACCCCCTCTGCAGATCATGCCTCTTTGACCATATTTACCACCCATAAAACAGGTTAAAAAAATTATTAGCCAAATGCCTCGTACACGACAAAAGAAACCTAAACTCAGGTAAAAACAGATAATTGTATGCAAAAGGGCAAGATGTAAAGCAAGTTTCTGATTTAAGATGTGATGCATTGTTATTCAACCCTGCTAGAATCACCGGGCCAACCCAGACCCTGTAATTATCAGGCCAAAACTCAAACTAAATTGGATTTTAAATTAAATTGGTGAGAAGTTTTTTTTATTAGACTTGTTACAAATCTGCTTAAATTTTAAAATAATATTTTTTAAATTAATCTGTTAAATTATACTTATTTAATAACTTTGATTTGATAAGGTGTATTTCAATTGTTTGACATTGTATTAATGATGTGGTTGTTTTAAGAATTTTGATGCTCAGGTTCTGGGTTGTACAATGATATTAATAATATGGTTGATCTTGTCTCCAAGTGGTTGGAAATGTTTGATTTGGTAATTGGTTTAGAAAATTTTATATTAATTTGGGGCAAGGTTTGCAAATTGAACTTAGGGTTATTTATTTTATTTGATTTTATAGCCTTCGTCGAGCCCCACTATATCAAGCAGACCTTGCAATTTGTATCCACCATCTGCGGCCATTTTTTCCCCATTTTTTTGCAAGAATTAAAGTATTTTTCCACTATATCAAGCATACCTTACTCATTTCATTTTTCCATACAGTGATATTTACTAATGGTTTAAAAATATGTACTTTTTTTTTGTTAAGAATTGAACTTGCTTATATAATTTATAAAAAAATATTAAAATTAAACTCTTGTTATTTTTATTGTGACAATCAAATTAAGAAACTATTTGTTTTTACCGTGAAATCATTGTTGTATAAGATTTTGAATTTTTTTGTTTGAAATAATTTTTTTATTGTTTTTTTATCATTTTAATATGTTTATATTAAAAATAAATTTTAAAAAATAAAAAAAAATATTATTTTTATATATTTTTAATAGAAAAACACTTTAAAAAATTCTTATTTATACACTATCAAACACTAATTACTACAAGAAGTAATTGTAGGGTTAGATGATTAGGCTAATAGGATAGCACTCGGGCACTTCACCAGTCATGATCGTGACCTTTAGCCACTACCTAGTGTTCATGGGAAGGGTATGATTGTAAGGTCTTAAAGAAGCAGTGACCAAACTACAACCCAGGTTGAAGTTTACAGGCTTCATCAATTTTACTTATTTGGGCTGCTGGATGTCCAAAACCTCTATCAAGGTCTCTGCTTGTGAAATCTTACTCTTTGTTTTTTTAGGCCGACTGAGATTTTTTTTTTTTTGAGAAAAGTGTTTTATTAGCCTTATTTGTTTGTTAAAAATTAATTTTTTTTAAAAAATAAATTTTAGAAAAGTGAATGATTTTTTAATTTTGGTAGTATAATAAAAAATAAGTTAAAAAATATTTTTTAATATTTGGCTATGTCATGGAAAATGAGTTGAAAAATAACTTATTAATATTTTATTTTTTTCAAGTTTATTAAAAATAATGAGGCACAAATCTTACAAATTAAAAAGTTGAATGAGAATGAAATTAAAAAATATATAATTTCATAAATCATATCAAATAAAATAAATAATAATAAAAATAATATAGATCAAATATAACAAATTAAAAAAATTAAAAGAAGAAGAAATTAAAATAATAATTATTATTATTATT